TTAAATTGTTATTATGGGACAATGTCATGTGTCTTTTTTAATTAATTTTAATGCCACATCATCATCAAAAGTATAGAACAATATTTCTTTTTTTAGTTTACTGTAAAAAAAATGTTAAATAGGTAATTTTTAACTAAAAAGGTGTTCAATTGGAAAAAACCTAAGATAAGGTGTTTTAGTAAAATATGCGGAAAACTTTAAGGGACCACATCAATAACACATACGAAACACATAAACATGAGATCCTCCAACGGAAGATGATTCTAAGGCTCACTTGAAAGAGTTATAAATCAACCGCTTATACAATCCCTTCACACACACCTAAGAGATCCTTTAGAGTACCTAGGATAAGGTCATTCTCATTACACAACATAACACATATATAATATGACAATCTCCTCCAAAAGGTTATCAAAAGACTTAAGTAATTCAAGAAGAGAATGCCCATAAACCCTCTCAAAGATTACATAAATAATCCTTAAGACTTAATAAGTTTAGATCACGTCTACTTATAAAATTTACTTCCCTATTTTCATTCATAAGATTTCCATAGGTAAGATATGAAGTGACCATTCCCATGCCCCCTCACACGTTAACTAGGCAACCCTTAAACTACTTTGGAGAAATAATTATTAGATTAGCATGCTTTCTAACTTAAGTCATTATCTTTACTAGTTCACTTTAGAGATATTCAATATATTAGGAAATTCAAGTAATGGTCTTAGAGAAGACCTAAGGACTCAATCACTAACATCTTCAAAGCCTAATCGTGCAATGTGTAGATAGTGTACCGTACCACCACCTTAACTTAATAGAACTTCTTCAACCCTAGAGGTATATGATATGATAAGAATAGGAAATAAACGACATATACTATACTAGCGATTCATGGAATCCGGAGTCATGAACCTACTCGAATGGAGGTTTGTTCTGCTGACCAATGGTATAACTAGGGCAAATCCAATGTAACAACATGGTTAAGGAATATGAAGGGTTTCTTTGTTCTCTAATGTCATCTTATTTTAGATCAACTCCCCTAGCCATACTCTCTCGGTGCTAGACTTAGTCCTCATAGAGAAATTCACATAAAGGTCTATATAAAGATGATCAATATCTAGTTCACAACCCAATCAGATTACACCTTTCTAGAGAGGGTCCACTACGGCTACATAGAATGGTAAAGAGGATAGATCAATGATTTTGGTCCACTAGGGCTACATAGAATGGTAAAGAGGATAGATCAATGATTTTCCTATGTATCAATTCATGACGTTGTAACCAACCAATCCTAAGTCCACAATTCCCATAAGAAGGATACCATGGCAACTTTCAACTTCAAAGATATCATAACCTTACATTTAGAATAAAGGTTCCATATAAAGGACCTTCTTAGTTATGTTGAAGGTCACATGCCAATCACATATACAAGACTGAGAATTTTTATCATACTAAGTCAAGAAGTTATATTCTCATTATACATGAATCAAGTAAGGGATATAAGTCGACTAAGACAAGACACACACATACTTCTTATATAGTATATCATTCTATAAGCACATAGACATAACCAACATAGTCTATAGGTCACCCTATTCCCTACTATAATATCATCAATGTAAATATCGTAAGACTTGCATAACCAAATAGGAAGAATAATGCATCAACCATAAGACTACACATATAAGGATATAGTCATAGTCTAAAATGCTCACCTAATGTAAATAGAAGAACGCATAATTTCACCTTACTATGATATAGATAGATATGATCATACTTCACATAAAAAAACTATACAAACCATCATAATACATCAAGTAATGTCGAGAATACCATGATCATCAAAATCATAATGTAACACCGATGAGGCCACATAATTCACAAGTAGGGGCTTTATGGTATTGAATTAGATGATTTAGCTTTGGATTGAATTAGAGAGAGTGAATTGTTGGTAATCTGCCGTAATTCACTTTATTTTATGTTAATTAGACCTTAATTATTCTATTATTGCTTATGGTGGCGTCCTATATTAATTGATGTGGCTTTGGCGGCAACTACTTGAAATATTATGATGATTTTTGTAGTTGAGTTATGTGAAGTATGATCATATCTATCTACATGTGATTAAGTTAAAGTATGTGTTGCTTCTATGTATATTAGGATATCATGTTAGACTATGACTATGTGCTTATATGTCTAGTATTAAAATTGATGCATGATTGTTCCTACTTTGCTATATGAGTTATGATGGCTATATTGATGATTATATGGTGATGTATAGGATTACATAAAGAAAATATGGGTCATTCCGAAGTTGCTCATAAAATGATATGATATATATATAATAAAGTAAAGAATGTTGTGTCTTGTTTTGGTAAACTTGTGTCCCTTACTTGATACATGTATGAATGATATGTGAATATGATATTTCTTTTCTAGGTATGATTAGTGCACCCTTGTCATGTATGAATGAATGATGTGTGAGACCTTAAAATGATGTTACGAAGGTCATGTACGTGAAACCTTAATCCTAGTGATAAGGTTTTGGATGTTGAAGTCAAGAGTCGTAATGGTATCCTTCATGTAAAGGAATGGTGGACATAGGGTTAATTGGCTTGAACGACATCATATCATCCATATGAAATTCATAATGAAAATTTATGTCTCCATTGTAAGATTTCCCTAGTGGACCTCTTTTCTAGGGTGAATGTGATTGGGTTATGAACTAGATATGGAACCCATTTGTATGAACCATTTATGTCAATTACTCTATGAGAACAAAGTCTAGCACCGAGTTATTGTGTTATGGGAAGTATCTTTACTTGAGAAGGAGAGTAGTGTACAATGTAGCTCTACTTGAGAATGAGACTAGAGTGTACAAAATCCCTTCATATTCCTTAACCATGTACCTACATGTGTTAAGTTTTAGTTCTACCCTTAGAAAGTAGAACACCCTAATAAGAGTAGGTTAAAACTCAGGATTCCATGTCTAGCTATCACTGTCAATGTCTTTATTTCCTATTCTCATCATATGGATAACTACTAGCATTAGAGAAGTTCTATGAAGTTTAGGTTGTGGTGTGTGACGCTATCTAGACATTGTACAATAGGCTTCGAAGATGTTAGTGAGAGTCCCTAGATCTTGTCCAAGACCATTACTTGAATGTCGTTATGTGATGAGTGAGTCTTAAATGAACGAACTAATGTAATGAATTAAGTTAAGAAATCATGTTAAATGAATAAGTAGTTACTAGAGTAGTTAAGGTTGTCTAGTTAAGGTGTCAAGGGACATAGGAATGGTCACTCGTATCTTACCTAGATAAGTCTTAAGAATGACTATAGTTAGGGAAGATTGTACATTAGCTAGACATAATCCATGCCTTAGGTAGTCTTAAGGATTATTTAGATAATCTTGAATAGGTCAATCATGGACGTTATCTTCTGGATTTACTTAAGTAAACTTTTGATAGACTTTGAAAAAAGAATATCATATTATCTAAATGTTGATGTATCAAGTTAGAATGGTTCTATCTTAGGTAGTCTATAGGATCATTTAAGTGTGTGTATAAGGGATTGTATGTTCAGTCGCTTCATAACTCACTCAAGTGAAACTTAAAATCACCTTTGGTAGGAGAATCTCATGTTCATGTAGTTGATGTATTGTGAGTGTGTATAACTCATTTATAAGTGGTCCTAAGAATCATTTAATAGTTCCTATAGAGGTTGTATGGGCAGTCACTCTTTGTATTACTTAAGTGGGTATTAGGATATCTTTTAGTGAGGGGATTTCATGCTAGAAGGTGTCTAAAGTGAAGTTAAGAAACTTCACTGTAACAGTGAAGGAGTTCACTGAACAATGAAATAGTTCACTGTAAAGTTGCCTCTAAAATGTGATAAATTGGTTCACTGTAAAGTTGCCTCTAAAACGTGATAAATTGGTTAACTGATTTCTTATGTGTTTCTAAGTTGTCAAATGTTGTTATTATGACTATATTATGATATTTAAATCAAAATATTCATATTTATAATGAATGTCTGTTTTGATGATTTTATGTATTATGTCAACTAAGTACATGTGGCTGTACTAATTCCATGCTTTTATCTATCTCTAAAGTGATTCATAGGTGAAGGAGCTTTTGGAGAGTTAAGCTTGGATTAGAAGATTGATCAAGCACGATGAAGTATGTCTAGAGGGCATAAATGTCTTTTATCTCCTTGATCTATGTATTGTAATAGACTTAGTAGTACTATATTTCTATTGAGTATAGGCTGCGTCCCGAAGTATTCTTGTGTCTAAGTTTTGATGAAATGATACTTAGTATTTATCTCCTATGATTTCTTTATGAAAAATATTTTAAAGACTTATAGAATGTTGATGAAAAGTTTTTATTTTGCACTACTTTTCATATATTTATATCCGATGAACGATACGAAAAGGTTTGTACAAGACCTCCGATAGATCAACTACGCTGGTTCCATTCCGAGAGTGTCATATCATCTAGGTTGTGATGTCGAGATGTGAAAATTATAGAATGTGGACTTTTTTCCCGGGCGAGGTAAGCCTATGGTTGGTGTTTTATCGAGGTTTTCTACAAATATATATTTGTAAATTTTCGACTTTGTTAGAGTCGCCACTTAATTTTTTAACAAAAAAACAAGAAAACTGTTCTTTCAATTTGACTAAAACAGAAAAACAATTCGAAAGATTATTAGGGGTTTGGGAATTCTTTTTGACATATTAGGAAGGTTTGAAAGCACCTAAGATGTCCCCTTACTTGTGGTTATCCGACAACTAATCTATTTAGCTAAAACTTAACACTATTTTCGTTTTAGACTTGCTTACAACAAAGTAATTAAATCACCATCTAAGTAAGAATTGATTTGCCAATTTATTCGTCTTTTATTTTAACAATACCTAATTATATTTGATTAAATTTGAGGTTGATAAAACATTACTGCATTTGCGGAGATTTGGATTCTTTAACCTTAGAACTAACAAAAAATAAAAGCAAATAAGAAAATGAAAATAAGAGAGAGAGAGAGAGAGATAAGGAGAGAGAGTCGGGTTGGGTCCAAATTCGGGTTCTGTCCGCCTGGACCGATATTTAGACCCATTATTTTTGGGTTTTGACCCACTTCACTTGGTTCCTATCCTAGATTCTATAAATAGTAATACAAAGAGGACAGGGTCTTAGGCCCAAAACGAGAAAATACTTAAGGTACAATGAATAAATAAAATGGGCCCTGTTGACCCATTCTCTTCAACTCTTCCACTTCGAGTTCTTCGATCCCTCATGCTATTTCAGCTTCAGAAACTATTCGTCTGTTCTTATGGGTGGACTCAGGATACTGAATCTTGAACCTTTACGGCTCTTCCAAAATTCAAGAGGAATGATTGGAGTACTTGATGAACCCGGACAGATTTCTCATGCAAACAAAGGGAAGAGAATTAGTGTACAATTCAATAAACATGAATGTAAAAGAATAAATTACTTCACTACAAAATACACACCTACAAAAGATTGTATAAATTTACAAGCAATTGTTTCAAAAATGACATTTAAAGGAAATGATAAATTTAAGGAGCTATTAAGAAGGCCCAATAGTCGCTACTTAAAGACAATTATCCTTTGATCGCGGGTGATGACAGATGCTTACTATTTGAAATTAAAACATGTAGATAGAACTTAACATAACTAGGCATGAAGAAACACTTCTTATAAAAAAAACTGAACTAAAGGCAATGAGAAATAACCTTATTTTTCATATGTTCTCCAAAAAAAGTAATAACACTATGAGTGATACTCATTCTCTTTCCAGTGAAAAAAATGGGAAAAACCGAAACAAATCAATTCATGCCCCTCAACAAATGCAGATTGTTGCCCACCAACTTGACTTTAATGGAGAAAAAATTATATCAAAAACGTAGGTCACGCTAGCCGACGAACATCAACCTATAGAACATATTTGAGATAGGTTTGAACAAAAAAAAACACAAGATTGAGATGAGCCTACTCAAGGTGCTTCACCGAGATGGCTCTAGAAGGACATGACTGACCACTGAACTACCAAATATTCATTGAAAACTATAGAAATTCAAAACGCATATTTTAAACTAAAATCAGCCTACTCAAGGCAAGATATTCATGAGGAACAAAAAGCTTAACTCTATTTTTTAAAACCATATTGACTATATCAAAAAGAGATAGCACAACTCAAATAATGATTAACGCGGAATGTGATAAACTTGAACCAATGTGGTGTAACATGCTGCAGAGTTTTTCAAAACAGAGTACCTCATACCGAAAACATTAAAGTTTCATATAACTTAAAAGAACATCACAAGCACAGAGATGGATTCTTTTAGGAACACACACAAATATTAAAATATAAATAATATGATGACAAACAACAGCAACACGGGCCTCGGAATCATTGGAGACACCGTTAGAAATATAAGATATACTTAACATTATAAAAAAGGTGATGTTACCTTTAAGTGTGCAGCGAAACAGGGATGGAAATGAGTAAAAGAACGGTGACTTTGACACTACCAGAACTGCGACTTTGAGAGCTTAGAAGGACCAACTGTAGCAGATGACACCAGAAACTGTATCGCTCAGTTCTTCGTCGCTTTAAAAAAATTCTCCCAGTCCCAAAGGCTTCTCTAACTCGAAAATCTCCTCTCTTTTTTTTCTTTTAGCTTTTTTAATTTAAAAATATCCAACTAAAGGAAAAATTTCCGAAATCCTCCTTACCTTTTACTTGCAGAATTTCCGCCTTCACCAAAACAAAAACCTCTCTCTAGACAACCCATCCAAGAAAATATATATAGGATTCAGATTTAGGGTTTTCTAAGAAGGAGGGAAAAAGGCAAAGTCGACCATTCTAGCCCATTCAAAATTTGAAAATTCTTTTTAGACGAGGACAAAACTTGCCTCTTCATGAGAAAACCGGATTTTTAGGAAAAAAAATTAAAATTTTAAAAGAACATCGATGGTTTTGATTGATCTCCTCTTGTCCTAGAGGCTCGATGTGGCGCCTATCCGCATGAGACAAGGACGTTGTTGCAAGGACAGGAACGTAGACGACTCTGCCCTGCTGCAATCGTACGAACAATAACAAAATCCTGGAATCCGTTGCTAGTCTTTTTTTTCACACGCCTTTGAAGACGAAGAGGCACGCAGAGAGAGATCGAGCAGTGAGGGAGACACGCGCAGTTGCTTTCCATCACGTTAAGAGTGTCAGGTGCTCCTAATGGTGTGGCTGCGTCTAGGTTACGCTGATCTCTTGATTATGTTTCCCTTGCTTTGAATCGATCTGGGAGAAAAGGGAAAAGGGCCAGGTCGGTTATAAAGGTTGGCTGGGTTAAAGAGCCAGAAATAGATTGGGTATTTTTGCTGCTTTGAATTTAAGAAGTAGGCTGGATTGAATTGAGAAGTGGACACAGACACACTTTCGTTTGGTTTACCGGGATGGGCTTAAATTGGATGAATTGGGCTGCCAATTTGAACTAAGGCTGCTATAATTTTAATTGGAATGGATTAAATGGTAAAAATTGGCAGTTTAATGGCTGAAATAGCTTATTGAATAAAATAAATCAATAAAACAATTAACAAGCTTCTTATTTTTGAAGAAATAGGAATAAGTAATTTAAATATACACTATGTAATTTAAAACATAGACTATTGTATAACCGAATGACTTAGTAAAATATTCATCGAAGTAAAATCCTTTTGAGGTGGTTTTCCAATAAACGTAAAATATACTAGTCGTATATATGACTATGTAGACATATATATTATCTAAAAAAATTATAAAAGTTAAAACATTAAAAACACTTAATACATTTTAAACTTTACAAAAGCCAACTATTTCAAAATCGTATAAAGTTAACAAACTCATTAATTAATTTCCCATTGGAGCGAGTCAAAATTGGGGTGTCAACAGTTGGTAGTCTTATGGGTCACTTAGGTGTGCATTGAAGGGGGTGTATGAGCAGTTCCTTCATTTATTAACTTTTTGAATCTTAGGATAACTTGGATAAGGAAACTTCAAAAGAAATGACCTCACTGTGTTTGGTATGAATGTGGTAACTGTAATGTCACTTTTGTTCACTATAAAGTCACTTTGGTTTATTGTAAAAATTATGTTTTGGTTATAATATTTATGAGATAAGTGATGATTCTTTGTACTAATCCCATACTTTTCTATACTCTATAAGTATAGGTTGGAGGCAAGAAAAGTCTAGAAGGAAAAGCTGGGGAATCAACTCTCTCAAGACTCGGTATGTCTTCATATATTAAAGGACATAGTCTATGTTTCTTAGTTTCTATTATTAATACTTATTATGTATTTTGATTCAATGTAAATGATCGTTTACCTATGATATTTAAGTAGTGTCTTTAAGATGGCTTGTGAAGATAGGACTATTCTTTTGTAATTATGAAAGATTTTCTATTAGTATTATAAATGTTCTAAAAATTTTTATTTTTGGACTAATTTTCATGTCTTATGCGATGAATGACAGCTAGTAGGCTAGTACAAGAATACAGACGGGTTAATTATGCAATTTTCTGAACTAAGGGTTACCCTATCTTCTGGGGGCACTTTCGGGTTGTGAAAAACATTGTATCAGAGCATAATTTTATGGAAAATAGTTTAGGGTCTAATGTCTCACTACCCACATCAAGTAGAGTCTTCTTTTTCAGTGTGAGTTATCACAAATTAATTAGTGAGAGGCAATAAAGCTATAGAAGTTCTACTTTCCTCATTATTCTAATGTTATTCCTTAGTGTTGAGCTCTATAAGATGGCGTTCTAAACCTCTTTCCTAGTTTTTATAGGACTTGAATTTAAGGTGGACAACCGCTAGAAGGATTAGCAAATGCGAGGATCCCTCCCTTTGGGGAGAACGTACCTATAATTGGTATTGAGGATGTGAATGAGTTAGTTCCCCCACTAGAACCTCAAGAACATCAAATGTCCCCTATACCCCAAGCTTCTCAAGTTCCCTTTGTTGAAGGGGATATAACTGATGCGTATTTAAGGGATACCCTTATAAATTTTACCAAACTCATGACAAATCAAGCTCAAGTCGTCACTACTCATTTGGTTGCCCCATGGAACTAAGGATGTGGACCTAACCTAATGCATATAATGCCTCTACAAGAATTCGGGATTTCATGAGAATGAACCCTCCTACTTTACATTGCACTATGGTGTATGAAGATCAACAAATCTTCATAGATGAGATATTCAAGGTGGTGGATGCTATGGATATGACCCCTAGAGAGAGAGTGGAGCTAGTCACTTACTAACTGAAAGATGTGGCCCAGGTGTGGTTTGAGAAATTGAGGCATGAAATACCCTTATGGAATGGTCCGTTAGATTGGAAGTAGTTCAAAGAGGCTTTTATTGATAGTTTCTTTACCTTAGAGTGGTGAGAAAGAATATGGTGGAATTCATGAATATTCATCAAGGGGAATCAGTGTGAAAGAGTACTCTCTCAAATTTACCCAACTCTGTAAGTATACCCCTACCATAGTAGCCAGCCCTAGGTCTAGGTTGTACAAATTTTTGATGGGAGTGTATATCTTGTAAGAGAAAGAGTGTCGTATATCGATGCTCCTTAATGAAATGAATATCTCTAGACTCATGGTGTATGCACAACAAATTGAGGGTTACAAAATTAGGGACATAAGGCAAGAGGTTAAGAGTTCTAGGTCGGACGAACAAGGTCAACAGTACCTAAGAAGAGGTTATATCACCAAGAGTCTTCCATAGGGAATAAGGATAGGGCTCCCAACATCAATTCCGAAGGAGGTAGCCATACTTTTTAGAGGTCTAGGGGTGCTACTCCTGGGAAGAAATATTTGGGTAAGTATCTTGCGAGAATGGATGGTTTCTTTGCGTGTGGTAGTAAGAATCACGAGATGAGGGACATCCCTAACATCAAGGAAAAAGGGAAAGAGATTATTCAAGCTTCTTAAGGTGATCTAGGTCCTAATCTTCAAAATAAGAATCATCCATATGGGATAGGAATGAGGAGAGAGAACTAATCCAAATTTGATAGTCCCGGTAAGTCTTAACCCTTTATGGTTCTTGTGTTTCTTGTGTAAGATAAGCTTATATGGTTTTGTTTTTCTTATTTCCATGCCTTCTCGGTAAATTTCTTAAATGTTATATTGGTGGAATTTTATGCATGTTTCACTGTTTGAGTTTTGGTACTCAATGTAAATATTTTAAAGTTTGAAGAAAATTCCATTATCATGAAAAATGGTTTCAATGTGTGTATATTTATGTGTGTGGTCATGTTTAATGTTGGAGTAGATAGTTCCTCCATAAATGAAGAATGAGGGTGATTTTTTAATTGTGAAAATTGATTCAAAAGGTGCTTGCGTTGCTAAAATGATCATCAATGTGTAGTTGTATTCCTTGTTAAGTGGTTCATTGAATATGAATGTTTTGAAATTGATTTAGTGTGATATAATCCTTCTAGTAATTCGTTGATGTCCTTAATAAATTTTTAGTGTCAGTCGAGGATGAATGTTATTCCAAGTTGGGTAGAATGTAACATGAATGTTTTGAAATTTATTTAGATTGCTATATCCTTCTAGTAATTCCTTGATGTCCTTTATAAATTTTGTGTCAGTCGAGGATGAATGTTATTCCATGTGCGGGAGAATGTAACATCCTAAAACAAACTAAGGTAAAGTAGATAATATCTAGTGTATCATCAGGTAAATTTGTTATGAAATATATAATAATGATGTTTTGAGGAATTTTATAAAGTTTGGTGATGTTTGGAGGTCAAACGTCCAAGAACGTCCATTATGTTCTGAAGGTATTCCTTAGAAAGTGTTTCTGTCCTTATGTACTTTTGCAAGTTTTACATGTTCGTTTTCGTTGAAATTGATGTGGGGTGATCTTAAGATATATATTACCCTGTTTAGGGGTTCAACATACAGTTACGACTCCACCTAGGACCCAGAATAGAACCTAGAAGACGACCCCAAATGTTTAGAAAGAATCTGCCAAGACTGCAAAAAACCAACCTCAAACGACGGAGGTAGTCAACTCCCCTTGTTTCAATATACGTCCCGTCTTATTGGGGCGTAGAGTGGGAGTAGGACTTGGAGCTCAAACCTCTACTTTTCCAGCTTCAGACCCAAACAACGCCCAGCAACACAGGCCGTCATTCTGTAGATGCCTTGTTGCTTGGGTCTGTTGTGGTGGTCCTGCAAAAGTAGCTTGACGCACTTCCTTGTCTTGGGGTATTCTGTAAATTCACTCCATGACTTTTACGAACCTAGGGTAATGTTTTTAAGATTTTTAAAGTATACGAAATTGATTTTAAGTCCTAGACCTAGACAAGACCCCTAATTTCAAATATTCAAACTCTCTCTCCAAAAGAGACTCTCGCAAAACTCCATTGAAGCTTAGACTCAAGGAACGACTAGGAGGGCTGGTTTTTGACGTGTTCTTCATATGGGGTTTCTTATCATTAAGGTATGGTATTCATCCTTGAATCTCTTCCATTCAAGGAGTCATTTCTAAAAGATTTCAAAAAGGGTTCTGAAACTCTATCTTCTTTTATCTTTGACTCTAAGCATGGGGTCTTCATATAAAGTGTTTTAATGATTCAAATGTGTTTTTTCTTGTGTTATTTAATGATTATAAAATCAAAACTCTACTTAACCCATGCTTATGCATATTTTAAACTTTTAGCTTAAGAAATAGGTTAAATGAACATGATTATGTTGTGTTTGAGCTTTAGTTTCTTTCTGATGGTATTATTTATTAGCTCCTGCCCTAAGGGATATATTATTATGAAATATTTAGGAATTGATTATAAGTGATGAAAGCCTGGAGAAATGGTAAGTTGGTGGTATTGTTTAGCTCTTATAGTGAAATGCTTTTGAGAGTTATGGTCCACCTTTTGTGGCGGTGTTTACTTGAAGACCTTTAGTATATTCTATTTTGTATGTTCATTGTAAGTATGGACTTGAAGGCTTGATGTATGAAGTATAATGGAAATATTAATGGTCTTTTTTATATGTCTTGTGAAACTTGAATTGTATGCCTTGTTTAGATTATGATTAAATAATGTATATGTACATGTTGAGTATCCTAGTGTGTGAGATATGATTAATGAAGCTGTAAGCATATCTAGAATTCAATTGTAATGAAATAGTGATTATGTGAAACGTGTGTGCACACACACACTCTCATACTTGAATGAATGAATGATGTTAATAAATGTGAATAAGGTGAGTTTTGGGTTGAACACTCTTCGTTAGTTGAGATGAAGGGGTGTCCATGCCAACCGTCGAACAACACTTAGACAATTTATTGAAGACACCACCTAAGGAGGGATTGGCGGGTTGTAAAGAGACAATTTCACCATCAACTCTTC